GCCAAGTTGCCTAGACTGGTCTCAAACCCCTGGGCTCAGACAATCCTCTTGCATCTGCCTCCCAGAGTGTTGGGATTACAGGCTTGAGCCACTGCGCCCGGCCAGCAATTTCTTAAATTAAGACAGCAATGAAGTTTTTTTGCTTTTTTGGTTTTTTGAGTCAGAGTCTCACTCTGTCACCCAGGTTGGAGTGCAGTGGCACACTGCTCATGGTCACCACAGCCTCGACCTGCTGGGCGCAGGTGATCTTTCTGCCTCAGCCTTCCAAGTAACTGGAACTACAGGCATGCGCCACCATGCCTAGCTAGTTTTTTGATCTATTGTAGAGATGAGGTCTTGCCAAGTTGCCCGAGCTGATCTTGAACCCGTAGATATTATTGTGTTTCCAGGTATAGGGAGCCTCAAGGCAAAGGGAGACAGTCAAGGGAATGGCCAGTCAGTGGAGCAGTCAAAACACATATAACATTTATCAATTAAGTTTGCCATCATATATGGATGTAGTTCATGGCACCCTAAAACAATTACAATAGTAACATCAAAGACCAGATATTACAGATATTATAATAATATTGAAAAAGTTTAAAATATTGCAAGAATTACCAAAATGTGACAGACAACACAAGCTACTGGAAAAATGGTGTAGGTATATTTGCTCAATGCAGGGTTGCCACAAACCTTCAATTCGTAAAAAAACAATATCTGCAAAGCATAGTAAAGCAAAGCACAGTAGAATGAAGTATACCTGTACTGTATAAAGCACACATAGAAGCTGCTTTTATTTTCCTTTGTTTTGAGGTAGGGACTTTGTATCTGAGTCTCACTCAGTCTTAACAACCCGCCAATTTAAACATAGATCCTTGAAGCCATGGTTTTCTAAGACAGCTGTAACTGGGACAATATCACTTCTGACATCACTCTGACCTAAGGAAGGAACATCCCTTAGCTCCTACTAACTTGGTAACTTGGTAAATTTGGTAATTCATTAACCTGGTAAAAAGCTTTACTCTCAGATATTCTGCTAGTTGAGGTCTTACTGTTTTCTGATGATCTAGTTTTGGAAATCATATAGTGTTTGTTACTTCTGTCATACTTTATTGGTCAAGGTAGTTACAAAGTTCTTTCCAAGTTTAAGGTGAAATAATATGGACTTCATCACTTGGTGGGAAGAGTGTCATGGTCACATAAGAACATGTGAAATGGGAGATCTTGTATTGGTTATCTTTGAAAAAATATGTTAGAGTTGTTTGTAGTTTTTATCAAATTTGGAAAATGTTTTGGCTGTTATGTCTTCAAATATATTTTCTGTCCCTGTCCACCTTGCTTTTTGAGACTGTAATTATATGTATTAATATGTTTTATATCTCACAGATTATTAAGAGTTTGTTTATTCCTTTTCAGTTCGTTTATTCCTTTTCTGCATCATTTTGTGTAATTGATGTTGCTGTGTTTTCAGGTTTACTGTTATTTTTTTCTATACTCTCTAATCTGTTAAACTCATCCAGTTAATTTTTTATCTTTCTCTCATTATGTTTATGTTTTCCTCTACATCTTTTTTTTTCTTTCTTTTCTTTTTTTTTTTTCGTTGGAATCTCACTCTGTCGCCCAGACTGGAGTGCAGTGGCTGCTCTCGGCCACCGCAGCCTCGACCTGCTGGGCTCCGGCAATCCTTCCGCCTCAGCCTTCCAAGTAGCCGGAACTACAGGCATGCGCTACTGCGCCCGGATGATTTTTTGATTTATTGTACAGATGAGGTCTCACTGCCCAGGTGGGTCTCGAACCCGCGGGCTCAGGCAATCCACTCACCTCAGCCTCCTAAAGGCGCGGGATTACAGGCTGACCCACAGAGCCCGGCTTCCTCTACATCTTTAAGCATATTTATAGTAGCTATTCAAGTTAGCAATGACCTTATCTGCTAATTCTCTTATCCATGACATTTCTAGGTCTATTAACAGATTCTCCCCACCTCAATTATAGATATTTTCCTACTTCTTCACATATCTAGTAATGTTTTAATTGCATGCTAGACATCATGAGTACTATATTGTTAAGTGTCTGGATATTGTTGTCTTTAAGAATACTGAAGCCGGGCTCTGTGGCTCAGCCTATAATCCCGCCTTTGGGAGGCTGAGGTGAGTGGATTGCTTGAGTTCATGGGTTCGAGACCTGCCTGGGCAGCGAGACCTCATCTCTACAATAAATTTAAAAAAAAAAATCAGCTGGGCTGGTAGCGCGTGCCTGTAGTTCCGGCTACTCGGAAGGCTGAGGCGGAAGGATCGCCAGAGCCCAGCAGTTAGAAGTTCGAGGCTGCGGTGGCCAGAAGTGGCCACTGCACGCCAGTCTGGGCGACAGAGTGAGACTCCAACTCAAAAAAAAAAAAAGAATACTGAAATTTGTTTTGGGAGGTAGTTACTTGCTAGTCAGCTTGATACTTTCAAAGCTTGCTTTTAAGCTTTGTTAAGGCAGGTTTGTAAGTTTTTGCTGTAAGGTTAGTTTAGCTCTGCAACTAAAGGATGATTCTTCTTAGAGCTCTACTGAGTGCCCGTGGTATTCAAGGTAATCTCTCGATCTGGCTGTTGGGAAGCCAGATGTCTCCAACGTTGTGTGAGTTCTGGGAGTTGGTCAACTTGCAAAGCCATTGTGCATTTTGTTTGCCTGGTCTTGTGAGGTTTCACCTAACACATGTGTGGCTTCGTATTTATTAGTAGACTGATGGGATCTCTGTGCAGAGGTGTCCCTTTTGGAAGTCTTTCTTTGCACTGCAAATTCCAGCCACCTTAGCGTCCCCAAATTCCAATCTCAGTCAACTCAATTAATCAAGACTGCACTGCTGTGTTTGGGTATACATTGTGATCTGGAAAGTAGTTCTGGGCAGAAAGCTAGAGTGATCACAGGGCTCACCTCATTTGTTTCCCTTTTCTCAGGCATCACAGTTCTGTACTATTGTCTGACTGTTTAAAATCAACCTTTTCATGTATCTTTGATCCAGTTTTCTAGTTATGCATGGTGGAAGAGAAAGTTCTGTATCAGTACTACAACAAGTCGAAGTATGAATTTTACATCCAGGACTTATTTCTTCTATTTTTTTTTTCTGAGTTGGAGTCTCACTCTGTCGCCCAGGCTGGAGTGCAGTGGCATGCTCACAGCCACCCCAGCATCGACCCACTGGGCTCTGGTGATCCTTCCTCCTCAGCCTTCCAGGTAGCCGGAACTACAGATGCATGCTACCACTCCCAGCTAATTTTTTGATTTATTGTAGAGAAGAGGTCTCGCCAAGTTGTCTGGGCTGATCTCAAGCCCTCGGGCTCAGGCATTCTGCTTGCCTCAGCCTCACAAAGTACTAGGATTACATGCTGAGCCACTAAGCCTGGTGCTTTTTTCTTCTTTTAACTGCTTAAAGTACAACTTGGTTTCCAAATGTAAAAATGAAATGAAGTCAGCTTTGAGCTACAATTAATAATTTGGAGGCGGGCCGTGGAGGCTCATGGACCTGTAATCACAGCACTTTGAGAGGTGGAGGCAAGAGGATTGCCTGAACCCAGAGGTTCGAGACCTGCCTGGGCCACTTGGCAAGACTTCATCTCTACAATGAAAAAAAATTAATAATAATGTGGGTTTCAGGCCTACGTCCAACTTGCTGCATGAATACTGGCAAATCTCATTCCTTCTTTAGGCAGTCACAGCCAAATTGATTTGAATATAATCCTATTCTACTTCTCAGGCATTCCATAACAAGCAAATGGAAGTAAAAACACATCACACTAAATAAGGATGAGGTTATGTTTATAGTTAGTTGACAGAATTCACTTCCCAAACCTTTATTGCCTGTTTTCCAGTTCCAGTTTTCTGTTTTATACTCTAAAGTATAAAAGGGCCTGAGATGAAAGTTGTGATGAGATTGGTACTGTTTCATTGCTGTTCCTCTTGATCAGGAGTCCTCAAACTTTTAAAACAGGGGGCCAGTTCACTGTCCCTCAGACCGTTGGAGGGGCGGACTATAGTTAAAAAAAAAAACTATGAACAAATTCCTATGCACACCGCACATATCTTATTTTGAAGTGAAAAAACAAACGGGAACAAATACAATATTTAAAATGAAGAACAAGTAAAGTTAAATCAACAAACTTACCAGTATTTCAACAGGAACTATGGGCCTGCTTTTGGCTAATGAGATGGTCAATGTCTTGTTCCATATTTGTCACTGCTAGTCGTAAGACTGAGAGGAGGAGTCGAGAGACAGAGAAGGAGGGGAGTCGGAGAGTCCGACGCACATTCCACAATGCGCACTGCGGCCCGGACCAGTCGGCTGCTAGGCAGGACAGGCAGCGGTGGCAAAAACACCCAGTGGGCCGGATAAATGTCCTCGGCGGGCCACGTGTGGCCCGCGGGCTGTAGTTTGAGGACCCCTGCTCTTGATAATAGCCAACTGTTATGGATGCTTTTTGTATGCCAGGAACTGTGTAAGCCTTTTATATTAATAAGTTTACTAAATTTTCATAACTGCTGTAAGAGATAGGTACTATTATTGTCCCCACTTCACACATGAGAATGAGAGAGATTAAGCAATTTGCAGAAGGCCACACAACTAAGTGACAGTGGTAGAATTGGAGTTGATTCGGAAGCCCTGCTCTTAGCCACTATGTGACTACTTAAAAACTATTGAAAATGTATCAACGTAGACTCATTAATTATCCTTAAATATAATGGAAAGGACTTCACCTCTGGGATCCCTTTAACAAATCCTGTTTGTTTAGTCAGCCTGATTTCCTTGGGGAAGCAGAAAGATTGGGCTGTAGTTGGAATACATGATTCTTGAGAAAACAAACACCATCAAGATGGCTGGAAATGGAAGGTGGTGTCCAGCACGAACTACCTTGAATAAGCTATAAGTGGAGACCAAAGGGTCCAGTCCAAGAGGGTCACTGGTGTATACTGAATCTTTCCTGTCTGGCAGCCCTTTTCATATTAATAGACTCTGTTATTGTTTTTCTTCCCCTTCTCAGAAACATTTAATCAATCCAGGCACCAAAATGCTAACCCTCTTTCCTGGAGAAAGAAAGGCTAATGTTTCTTTCACACAAAGAAGAACTCCACCTACAGGTGCTCAGCAAAGAAGCATTGCTTCCTTCTTCACCTTACAGCCAGGTATGGTGACCCATTGGGGAATACTTCATTATCCAGGGAGCAAAAAAGGAGTGTGTTCATTTTTCCATAGTGGAACATTTATGAAAAATGGTGAAACCAATGCATTGTGTTAAACTTAGCTGATCTATTAGAAGAGGTTATAAAACATAAGGAATCATTGCTTTTTTTTTAAGCAATATATTTGTGCTTTTACAAACATACTTTTCTGGTTGTTTTGCTGAGCTTAATATTAAGTATTTATATTCACTGACAGAGCAGTGAGGAAAAGCATACTAAGGAGTTGGGGATCCACAGGAAAGCTGACCTTCCATTAGTAGTTAATATAAATATCTTGGGTTGGCCACAATGAGTAATTTGTGTCAGGTTAATTGATAATTGATATTTCTGTACAAAGCTTCTCAGATTAGACAAAGGTTTCAAGGATGCTTTTTCTTAGAAAAGTTGGCATAAAGTTGGCTTATGTCATATCCTTTGGTAGTTCTTTGCTTGCACATCCCTGTTCTGTGAGGGAGCAGCTGCCTTAAAGGAGGCTAGGCCTTCCAGAGCAGGGTTCCTGAAAGGTGTTGGGAGGAGTACTCTAACTCTTGGTGTGATTCTCAGGATTGCTTTGCATAAGCCTTCAAAATACACCCTCACTCCTCCAAATAAAAACTTAAAACACTCTTTTGCTTTATGTAACAAGGGTGGGTTTTTTTCAAAAACACTTTTTCTACTTACAAATTCTGGCATATTTTGTAGTCTGTATTGGATTCTTAGGCATAAGTTGAGAATTCTCACAAAATAGTTCTTGCCGTACAATTCCTCTGGAGAAGGAAAGAGGAAATCCATTATTCTGCTTTGTTTGTCGTTGTATCTCAGTATAATTTGGGAAGAGTTAGAAATCCATGCCATTCATCCTTATTTTAAAGCAGAACAGGATCCACTCCATGCCTGATAAAATAGGCTGGACACTAGTAGTTGTTTTACTGCTGTCCTTCTTATTGATTGACTTAGCATCCTAATTGTGTCTTCATCTCTCCCTTTCCAATGAAATGCCTGGGGAGCAGGGAACCTACGTTATTCACACTGTCACCAAGTTTCTTGGAGTTGGATGGTTAATGTGATCTTTGAGACCTTACAAAACAGATATGTTGAGCAAGTTTCTTTAAGGATAGCATCCAGGAGAATATATTTGGCCAGGATCACTATTTAGTAGAAACTGCATTAAATAAAAAAAGCAAAACTGATGTGCCTATGTTAACCATACCCCACAAATGAAAACTCTGCTGGTAAAATAGGCTTTGGTTTGATTGTGCCATGTTTTACTTCATTAGGTAGGTCATGGGAAGCATCCATATATTTGAATATACGATCTGTGTTTTAGAAAGAGGAATCAGGAGGGAATAGCAAGATTGAAAGAAGAAAGATCAGCTACAAAGTTATAAGAATCTAAGTAAGAGCCAGGCTCGGTGGCTCAGCCTGTAATCCCAGCACTTTGGGAGGCTGAGGTGAGTGGATTGCCTGAGTTCACGGGTTCGTGACCTGCCTGGGCAACTTGGTGAGACCTCATCTCTACAATAAAATAAAAAATTAGCTGGGCGTGGTAGCGTGCGCCTGTAGTTCCAGCTACTCGGAAGGCTGAGGTGGAAGGATCGCCGGAGCCCAGCAGGTCGAGGCTGTGGTAGCCAGGAGCGGCCACTGCACTCCAGTCTGGGTGACAGAGTGAGACTCCAACTCAAAAAAAAAAAAAAAAAAGAATCTAAGTAAGACCCATGCACTAGGTAGTAATAGAAACTTATATTAATTTCAGAAAAAGCCAACTAAACCTGGTCATGGCAATTTTCCTGCAGAACAATATTTTTTCATCTTTTACTAGGAAAGACAAATGGTGGTGACCAGAAGCGTGTTTCATCTCATACAGAAAGTCAGATCAACAAAGAGTCCAAGAAAGATGCAACCCAGCTAGACCATTTAATCCAAGGCTTGAGGGGTGGTTGCATAGCTCCCCCTTTAGCCACTTCAACCCCGGCAGACATCCAGGAAGATGGACTTTCCCCTCAATTCCTCCAGACTTCTGACCACCACAGAATGGAAACCCCACTTTTTACTGTGCTGTCTTTGCCCCAGCCTGATAACCAAGACTGTGTGGGAGAGAGTAATACCTCTCTAGCTTTTTCCTTCACCCAGGACTTGGAAAGTTCTTGTTTGCTGGACCAAGAGGAAAGGAGGGTTTCTGCCAGGAAAAGAGAATGGCTTCATGGATCCAAGAAGAACTATCAGGGCATGGACAGATACAGCAAATCACCTGGGGACAAATGCTGTCAGCCTTTGGACAAGACTAAATTGGAGAGGAAGATGTCTGCCAAAGAAAACAGGCAGGCCCCTGTCCTCCTTCAAACTTGTGGGGCATCCCGGAGTGGAGAAAACACAGAATCAGTGAAACAAAGCCATTGTCCTGCTTCTGTGTTTTCCTGGGACAGTGAAAAGAATGACAAGGACTCCTGGAGTCAGCTTTTCACTGAAGATTCTCAGGGCCAGCAGGTTATTGCCCACAACACTAGAGCTCCTTTCCAAGATGTAACCAATGGCTGGAATCAGGGCTTAGGGCCATTTCCTAATAGCCCTTGGGCTCAGTGCCAGGATAAGCTGACTCAAAGTCTTCAGACTGATTTGCTCTTTACCCAGGACTCTGAAGGTAATCAAGTTATCAGGCACTAATTCTAACTTTTCTGATGAGGGTTTGTTTCTGACAAACCTTGAAAGGGCAGAGATGTAGGAAAATATTTTAGTTGGGGGTGAGGGTATAGTGAGTTTGTTTAGGTGGGAAGGAGGCATGGGATGAAGCTGTTGTCATTATCGAGCATTTTCTCTGTGTCAGTAAAGCAGGCAGTGCCTGAGGCAGTGTGAGGGCATCATGGCTTTCCCTCAGGAAGGTGATTGGTGAATTCCCTGAATGAATCTATGATGATCCCTGAGGAGGCAGGGTGGGATACACCAGAGTCTTTTATTCAGCCTGCAGAGCCACCTCTGCTCTTTCAGATGCCTGCCTGGGACCTTGCTTTTTTTTTTCTTTTCCCCCATTTTAAAGACCATTAGGGGAAATGTGTTGAATTTTGCTTTGTATCTGCAGTTCTTCATACAGTACTTAGTAAATAGTAAGAGCTCAACCAATATGTTTTGGATGAATGAACTCTTATTCCCTCTAGCCATCACCATCATCTCCCCGGTGCTTCTGTTTTCAGCTCCAGTGTTCCAATCCCATATATCCCAGCATTATTTACTCCTCTCAAATATAAGTTGGTAAGGTCATGTTCTTGTTCTTCCTCTAGCCAAAGACTTCGAGTTCCCAGCACACATATATATAGTTTGGGGGAACTTCCCCTCACCCCAGCGACTAGTCTTACACCCTAGAGTGTGAATTAGTTAACATGACCACAGTATAAATTACTTCATATTCTGGCACCATTGCATTCATGGGTAAAGTTGCAAGAAAAATGGTAGAACTGAAATGATTGGCCAACTTAACTGTGGGTATTTTTTCCAAATAAATCAAAAGGATACCTAGGATTTAGTGCCAGGCGTACTAAATAACAGGGTTCGTGGAAAGTTTAGGTAGCAGCAGAAGCAGATTTGTGGCCAACTGGATTCTAGACTGCTGAAGCCATCCTGCTCTTATTTTTATTTTTAAAATTTTTAATTTTAAAGATGTGGGGTACAATTCAGGGTTAGGCATACAAATGTTCATTATGTAGGTACTCTTGTTGATGAGGTATGCCCCCTACACTTTAACCCACTATCCAGTGTGAACCCAGATAGGGTACAGTAACAAATACCTGTAACTCTTGTTTTTTTAATAACATTCATGTGATATTACCCTGAGAAATGATTGCTGGATTAACTTCATTAAGCTATTTTCTTCCTTCTCTTTATTTTAAAATTCTGGGCCACGTGTGGTGGCTCACTCCTATAATCTCAGCACTTTGGGAGGCCTAGATGAGAAGCTGGAGTTCAAGACCTGCCTGGGCAACATGGTGTGACCTCATCTGTACAATAAATAAAAAACATTAGCTGGGCATGGTGGCTCATGCCTGTAGTCCCAGGTACTTGGAAGACTGAGACATAAGTAGCACTTAAGCCCAGCAGGCCAAGGCTGCGGTAGCCATGATTGTGCCACTGTACTCCAGCTTGGGCAACAGAGCGAGACTCTGACTCAAAAAATAAATTTCTGGTAACATTTTTCCTTTTGCTTTTAGTTTTCATCAGTGAGCCCAAATCTTCTCTAGTCATACACTTCCAGGTGTGCTAGAAGGTTGCTTCAGTATTACTTTTGAAAAAGAAAGTATTCAACATCCTAAGCAATTTGTTTGATTGTTGGGATCTTGTTTCTCATGGATGTGTGTTCCTTTAATCTCTGGCTGTAATCTTACTCACTCAATCTAAGCTTGGGGAAATTATTCCTGGCACTTTTTTGAGTGATTAGGCAAATCTCCCCACAAACCAGTTGTACAGGAGTAGGGGATACAGAGATAGGTAGAATGGTGACAGTTTTATTATTTTATTTTTGTGGTAACTGTACAGCATTTTAAAGTTATATGCTCTTTGTTTAAATATCCGCATAAAAAATCCTGAACAAACTAGATGTGACTATGTTACTCTTTTCCCACAAGGTGGGAGAAAGAATCCCCGTTTTAAAAATATGAATCCAAGTAAATGTTTACAAAGTGGCTCTGGTGGTAATTAAAACATTACCAATTTTATTTTTGAAAAAGCAACATTTCAGTAGGTGCTGTCATCACCCTGGGTCCAATCTGGAGTCTAGTTTGACCTGTTTTTTACCCAAGGCATTATCCTTTGTTGTGTGGTAACTAAATGACTTAGACTGGGTGGCAAACTTGTAAGAAATAAGATGAAACTGCCTTTTTTTAAAAAAATTTAAATTCTACTTTCTATTTCATCTCTCAGGTCATTTTCCTGGAGGAACTCCTTTTAAGAGTATAGGGGCCTGGGTGTGGTAGCTCATGCCTGCAGTCCCAGCACTTTGGGAGGCCAAAACAGGAGGACTGCTTGAGTCCAGGAGTTTGAGAACACCCTGGGCAACATAGCATGACTGCCTCTACAAAAACATTACAAGTTTAGCTGGGCATGATCTTGTATACCTGTAGTCTTAGCTACTTGAGAGGATTGCTTGACTCCAGGACTCTGAGGTTGCAGTATACTATGATTGTGCCACTGCACTCTAGATGGATGACAGAGTGAGACCTTGTCTTTAAAAAAAAAAAAAGTGGAGGATCTCTACAGAAAGGGGGAAGAAACCCCCTAGGGACATTTTCGCTTATAAGGGCAGGACCTTATAATGAAAGGGGAAACCAGAAGCCTGTTTTAAAAATGTCCAGAAATTTAACAGGAATCCTATACCCCTGAGGGGTACTAGGTAATCGCAACTCAAGAGATGGACACAGAAAATGCATTCTCTCTCCAAATCCTTCCTTTAATGTCAGGTAGTGCTTCAACCCAAACACACACAGTATATATACCATAGAGAAAGGGACCTGAGGGCATCTGAGTCATGCATGGTGTGGTAGATACAAACCTTGGCCCAACCCAAAGAAGCAATCAAAAGGCCTGGAAGAAAGATAGTAAGCTCTTTCCCCCTCCCCATTTCTCTTTCCTACTGGACTTGAACTAAAGTCCATGGAAGAGAAAGTTTTTAATCAGTGGAACTGATGAGGCCCCAGGGCCTTGGAGGGTAGATTTGGTTGTTCAGTATTATAAAATATGGTTTTAAAAAAAACCCAACAGCCCAGGCCTCCCAGCAGCAGCTCAAGTATCGGCTGGTTCAGGGGCCTGGCCTCTACATCTAGACAGGGAAGTGGGGAGGGGGTGATTGCTGGGCACTGGTATAGGTTTATGATGGAGCAGCATAAGATTTTTCCCTGCCCTGTGAACATGTACACAAACATTTATAGTCCCTTCCCCTCGGCCCTGCTGCAAGGAAGCTGCTGAGAGTAAGTGACAGCTGAGCACAAAGTGTCTGGTGAGACCAATTATGGGGTCTAATGCAGTGAAGTAAGTCATTCATTTAAGACCTGTTTTCACACAGGGCAAAGAAAAACCAGAAACTTCTATCTTACCCTTTAAACTGAGGTACTCCATTCTATACAATTACCTATAACAAATGTCTCAGCTCAAATCACAGGTGTTAGCTTCTGCTAGGGTTTCAAGTCTATGAAACATATAATCCATTCTTCTTTTAGTTCAAGCTCTAGCTTGTCAGCAAGACTTGCAGATTTGTCATTGAGAGGCAGAAACACCTGTAGTGAGGAAGGCAGCTATTGAAGGTATTCCTGGAACATGAGACTGAGTTTGCAGAGCTGAGTGTTGTCAGTTTCCTTTTCTACTGATATCTTCTTCTTTCAGCGCAAACTTCCTCCTTAGGACCTCAGAGATAAGCACAGCAGGGTCTTCCTCCTTCAGTAAACTCCGGTTCCTGGAGATACAATAATAGCTTATATTTACTGAGTACTTACTCTGTCCTGGGCAGTATTCTGTGTCTTTGCATATATTATCTCATTGAAGCCTCTCAACAATCTTATGAGGTAGGTGATATTACAGCTTCTTTTTAAAGATGAGGAAAATGAAGCACAGAAAGTTTATAAAGTTGCCAAAGTCTCTAGTCAGCAAGTAAACGGCGAATCCAGAATTCAAAACCAAACTAGCCAGTACCAGATCTCATCTCTTGGCTAGAACGCTTTACTATTTCCTGAAGTGGCTATAAGGTGTGGGCAAAGTAAAGGACTATCAATCTATGAGAGTTGGCTTCCAGTGGCTAAGCTTCTGCTCCTACCTTCTGGCCCCATGTTTCCTTTTTTTTTTTTTTGAGTTGGAGTCTCACTCTGTTGCCCAGACTGGAATGCAGTGGCACGCTCCCGGCCACCGCAGCCGCGACCTGCTGGGCTCCGGTGATCCTTCCACCTCAGCCTTCCAAGTAGCTGGAACTACAGGCGCCTGGCTAATTTTTTGACTTATTGTAGAGATGAGGTCTCGTCAAGTTGCCCAGGTAGGTCTCGAACCCACGGGCTCAAGCAATCCACTCAACCTCGGTCTCCCAAAGCATGGGATTACAGGCTGAGCCACCAAGCCTGGCCCCCATGTTTTCTTAATAGCATTTCCCTAAGTAGGTCAGCAGAAGAAGTGACTGATGATTCTTGGCTATTCTGACTCTTTTTTTTTTTTTTTTTTTTTTGAGTTGGAGTCTCACTCTGTTGCCCAGACTGGAGTGCAGTGGCTGTTCCCGGCCACCGTAGCCTCACCTGCTGGGCTCCGGCGATCCTTCTGCCTCAGCCTTCCGAGTAGCCGGAATTACAGGCATGCGCTACTATGCCCGGCTGATTTTTTTCATTTATTGTAGAGATGAGGTCTTGCTGCCCAGGCAGGTCTCGAACCCGCGGGCTCAGGCAATCCACTCATCTCAGCCTCCCAAATGTGCGGGATTACAGGCTGAGCCACTGAGCCCGGCTTCTATTCTGACTCTTAATAGATCTGGGGGAAACATGTGCTGAGGATTTCTTAGAGCTCCATCTCTCCCCCTCAAGGGAACCAAGAGATTTTTTATAAGAGATCCAGAATTATAGTAAATCATTCACATTGTAAGAGCCTCATGGAAACAAAACCAACTCCAGATTGAAGTAGCCTCAAATTATCTGGATACACCATATGAGAGGATCCCAGATACATGGAAAATAGTTGCTTGCATGCTAGTGAACTTATATACATACATGCTCATGAAAGTGTTTCACTGGTCATTGGGCTAGATATAGGGGCCAAGACTGACTATTAAATCTTGAAGCAAAAGCAAGTAAATGATTTTGGTTGGTCACATTTCTGAACCTTTGCTGACTGGAATACTTTTCCACTCTTAGTCATCAACCCAGCTCCTTCTGGTTGGAGGATACAAATGAGAGGAGGGGGTTGGCAATATGAGTCTTGGATCTAATTTGTCCCAAGAGGCGAGTAAGAAAAAGTTTGAGAGCCAATCTATAAAACAGTGATCAGAAGAAAAAAGTTCAGGGAAGACCAAAAGCAGTATTATAACAATTGATATGGGGGATATGGGAGACCAAAGAACTGCGAGTCACCAAAGAGCCACAGATCCATATGACCATCCTGGCAAGAGCCAGAGAAAAGAAGGTAAGAGTGGCTTCCCTAAACAGGTCAAATGCCAGGAAGCAATGAGGGAATCCCTTAATCTGGTCTAGTTTTCAGAGAGAAATGGGTCCCAGGAGACACAAAGGGAACCTTGCACGGGGTAACTTTCCCTTTCACAGGAACTTTATCAGTTCAGGAGACAGGGCTCACTTCCCAGTCCCCAGAATAGTTTTTTGGTTTTTTTAAAATTTGTATTAACAAATACAGCCGTACAACTTGGGCACTTGCCATCAAGGTCTGGATCTCAAGCTTAAATGCCTAAGAACCTGCATTTGAACAAGCACCTCTGGTGAGTCCCGTGCAGCTGTTCAAACCACACTTGGAGAAACACTGTGCAACTGGGTAAGTCCCTGACACTTCTCTGCCAGCTGAGTTTTTCAAGGTAGGTATTCCCCTAATTCCCTCATACTCCAGAAAAACCTAGAGCTCTGCTCCTTAGGGATTCTGCTTTAGTAAGTTTAACATGTGTTTTTAACAATCTGAGCAATTCTAATGGGCAGCTAGGTTTAGGAACTATGAATCTCAAAAAGCCTTGTTCTCAAATCCTTGAATTTACAGGGTTGGTTTGCATAATGGACCACTGTATTCTAGAGCAGAAATCCCCAACTTTATGAAATTTTCCTTTCACCAATTCTCCTTTCTACCAATCTGATATACCAAAGCATATGTCATACAAGCCCCAACATTGAAGGGTAGTACATGGGAACACTGTCACTAGCAATATGAGAACTGAAGCAGTAAAGCTACCCGAGGACAGTAGTTGGATTATATGAGGCTTCTGGTAAAATCTCTATTAATCTAACATTTGGTTGGGGTGATCTAACCCAACACATGTAGTGTTGCTCTTTCCTCAAACTGGGGACCCAGACACTAGCAAGCAAGTAGTCAGAAAGCATGTGAACAGAAGTAACATATGGCTACTACTAAGAACTTACTATCTAAGTATGTTGTACTAGATCACTGGCCACAGGCAACTCAAAGAGTAAACAGATCACCAGAGTTCCTCATAAATACTTACAGATCTTGGCTCTGTTTCATCCGGTGAAAGTCCTTCAGGATACCCATCATGTCTGCAAAGCTGCTGGCCTTGGACAGAGAGATGCAGTCATCCTCTTCAGACGAGCTGCAGGTAGCTTTGTGTTCTGGTTTGCAACATTCAGGGCTGGCAGAACAAAGCAGGGGGACTGATGGAAGCTCAGGGACCTCTACCTCTGTCTCTTCGGTGATGTCACTAATGACAAAGGAAGTTGTAGAGTGGAATGAGGATCCAAAACAAGGTAAGGGAGAAGAGACATTTGAACTTCCTGGAGATAAGAAATCTGGCGTTAATGAAGCCGAGGCTGAAAGAGAAAACAACAGGCATGGATGGACATTGAGGCTAGAACACAGCAGCAATATCTACCCACAGCACTGCCTACTGAACATTTCCTGGGCTGACACCATGACATTCTGGGAGAGCCACAGTGGTATCTGTAGCCAGTATAGGGTCTTTCCACTTATACTTCTCACTCAGGGGCTCAGGAAGATGTAGCACTGGGCTCTTCCAATGTTTCTAGGAGGGCAGGAAAACCCAGCCCATAAAGGCCTTGGTTCTTTTATTTGAGTTAGAGTTTCAATCTGTCACCCAGGCTGGAGTGCCTGCTCACAGCCACCCAGCGTCAACTGGCTGGGCTCAGGCGATCCTTTCGCCTCAGGTTTCCATGTTGCTGGAACTACAGGTCCACGCTACCATGCCTGGCTAATTTTTTGATTTATTGTAGAGTTGAGCTCTCGTCAAGCTGCCAGGCTGTTCTTGAACCCGTGGGCTAAGGCAGTCCCCTCACCTCAGCCTCCCAAAGTACTGGGATTACAGGCTTGAGCCACCGTACCCAGCCGCCTTAGTTCTAAAAAGCTCCCATTCCACAGTAGGCTATGGAGTGACAGCCCTGTCTTAAGTCAAAGCAACAGTGACTGAGACAAGGTATGAATTTGTCCTTTTTTCTAATCGGGCTACTGCTTTTGACTTTGCTCCTTTGAATCTTGCTATATGTTAACTAAAAGATATATTCTGAGCAAAACTAAAATGGTGACAGTCCTCCCAAGTTTCCCAGATTTCAGTGGAGAATTCATTTTCTACATTGCTAAAGAACACTTTTCAATTTTTCATAAAACTACTTCTGCTTGTCTCTTAGATGACAAAAAAGTATCCAGGACTATAAATGGGAAATTTCAGTGTAATTCTTCCACAGAACTCCATGTGAGGTGATTACATGAAGATTTCAAAGAACACCATGATTTTCATGTGTTCTACCAACTAGTAAGTTGGGGAGCTATAACTCTGAGTCAACGCAGAGTGAAAACAATGGAAGGAATATGAGGATAAACCCTGAGCATCTTGGGAGTGATCTGCCTGTTGGATGTCCAGTCTCTGATCAAGGCAGATGCCCATCCATTTCCAGAAAGCTGGAGGGATGGAAAGGTGATCTCTGGTAGAAACGATAAGGAAAGGGGTACTTCTCATACTGAAAAGGAAAGCCACTGTGGGCTTATAGAAGATAGAATCTTAAAGACACTTGGAAGAGGGTGTTGGTTTTTGTGGCTAAGGGAGGAGATTTTGTTCCTAACTAAACTATTCAGTTCCAAATGGTGGCAGAAACCATCTAAGAGGTACTATAGGCTAGCCAGGCTTCAGGACAACCCCTAAGCCTAAGTACCCTGAACCAAGAACCACCATTTTCCTTATCCCTATTCTGCCTAAAAGCCAGGGGAGAAGACAGCCTGCTATACCCTGGCCCTGGCTCAGGGGCTCCTACCTGCATCACCTGCCACTATCTTGGCAATCTGGCTACGCAGGTGGCTCAGCTCATCCTGCAGCTCAGTGGTGCGGCTTAGGGCTGGCAGGGCTGGCTTCTTCAGGGCCAGAAGCCTCTCCTCAGACCCACGTAGGTTGGGCACTGAGGCATTGCGCTGCATGACAATCAGAGGGCTGGGTTTCCAAGTGTGCCTCAGAGGGCGTGTATCACTCCTGGATCAGAGAAAGACAAGTATGTCAGTCAAAGACCGCTGGCCTCTGTACCCCTTCTAAAATTCCTTCCCCCACTCAGACAAGAGTAGCACAGTCAGGTTCTGCTTCCCTCCCGGCCTACAGTTCTCGTTCCTATTGACCTCAGTCTCTCACAAGCACCCTCTTTGCTGCCTGCTACCTCTTCTGGGAAGAAGCTTCCCATTCCCTAGCAGCCTAGCCACTGCCTCAGCTACCTGACCCGGGCATACGTCTCCTCTTCATCTGCAGCGATCCAGGCGATGTCAGCCAGGGTAGGGACTGGGGGCACATCTCTCAAACACAGGTCAGAGATGTTGGGCAGGGTCTATGGGGAAGCAAAATTTATCAACATTTACTGACACCATGACAAGCCAATTAGAAACTTCACAGTACATAAGAGGGGCACCTGATCCAGCAATAGTGTCAGGAATGCTTCCTAGAAGGGGCAGAAGGGCTGCAACCAGATTGAATAAGAGGCCAGATACATGATTCTGTGGGATTACAAATAGTTCAGCGTCTTCAGTGGGACTGACTTGAGTCACCTTTTAATAGAGATGGCTACTCTCTAAAACCATCATGCCCTCTGGTGAAAATACAGGTGCAAGGTCATCAATAACCTGTTAGCATCAGGAAATTTTTCCTGATAAGCTATTTATATCACCTTTATAGCTAATTGGGACCTACATTGTTACAGCAATGTTTTTACCTGATAATTTGAGTATATTTAATTTAAATAAAACGTAATGATTATGCAGAAGGAACCATAATAGGATTTCTTAAAATAACCCCTCAACCCAAATGAACAACAACCAAGGAACAGAGATGTTGAGAAACTATGTTAAGTGAAAAAAGGAGGATTCAATCACATGTTGACTGATTACAATAAAGTAAAAAACATACATCTAGAAAAAGAAAGGAGGCTGGGCATGGTGCTCACACTTGTAATCCCAGCACTTTGAGGCTAAGGCAAGAGGATTGCTTGAGCCCAGGAGTTCAAGACCAGCCTAGGCAATATGGTGAGACCTTGTCTCTACAATAAATAAAAAAATTAGCCAGGCATGGTGGAACACGCCTGTAGTCCCAGCTACCTGGAAGGCTGAGGCAGGATCACCTGAGCCAGCAGGTCAAGGCTGCAGTGACTGAGCATGCCACTACACTCTAGCCCGGGAAACAGAGTGAGACTCTGACTCAAAAAAAAAAAAAAAGAAAGAAAGCCGAGATCGGTGGCTCAGCCTGTAATCCCGCACCTTTGGGAGGCTGAGGAGAGTGGATTGCCTGAGCCCGTGGGTTCAAGACTCGCCTGGGCAACTTAGCGAGACCTCATCTCTACAATAAGTCAAAAATTAGCCAGGTGTGGTAGTGTGCACCCGTAGTTCCAGCTACTTGGAAGGCTGAGGCGGAAGGATCGCCGGAGCCCAGCAGGTCGAGGCTGCGGTGGCTGGGAGCGGCCACTGCACTCCAGTCTGGGCGACAGAGTGAGACTCCAACTCAAAAAAAGAAAGAAAAAGAAAGCCGGGCTCGGTGGCTCAGCCTGTAATCCCACGCCTTTGGGAGGCTGAGGTGAGTGGATTGCCTGAGCCCACGGGTTCGAGACCCACGTAGGCAACTTGGCGAGACCTCATCTCTACAATAAATTTAAAAATCAGCCGGGTGTGGTAGCGCGCGCCTGTAGTTCCAGCTACTTGGAAGGCTGAGGCGGAAGGATCGCCGGAGCCCAGCAGGTCGAGGCTGCGGTGGCCAGGAGCGGCCACTGCACTCCAGTCTGGGCGACAGAGCGAGACTCCAACTCAAAAAAAAGAAAAAGAATAGGCCTGGTGCAGTGATCTGCATTTTAGAAGGCCGAGGCAAAAGGATTGCTTGAGTCTAGGAGTTCAAGACCAGCCTAGGCAACATACTGAGACCTTGTCTCTACAAAACGTAAAAAAATAAGCCAGTCACGATAGAGTGTGCCTATAGTTCCAGCTATTCAGGAGGCTAAGGCAGAAGGATCGCTTGAGCCCAGGAGGTTGAGGCTGAGGTGAACCACGATCTTGTCACTACACTCCAGCCTGGGTGACTCAAGAAGAAAAAAAAAGGAACTACATTGAGACATTAATAGTTACTGTGTCATGACTATGTGATTATAGGTAATTTATTTTCTTCTTTTATAATTTAGTATTTTTATATGGTTAAATTTAAAAAATAAATGAGCCAGGCATGGTAGCAAGTGCTTGTAGTCCCAGCTACTCAGGAAGCTAAGGCAGAAGGATCACCTGAGCCCAGTAAGTTGAGAATGCAATGAACCATGATCATGCCTCTGCCCTCCAGCCTGTGTGACAGAGTGACCCACTCAAAATAAGATAAAAATCAGTATCGTTCCTCAAATAATATTTAAGGTAATGTAGAAATAATTAACATATACACACCTACACAAGAGTTAAAGTCAACTCTTCCTGCTACAGATTGTGTGGCAGATATATCAGAGGTTAACGTCCACATTTGCTTTTCAAAATAGAGACAAGGTCTTGCCATGTTGTACAAGCTAGTCTCGAACTCCTGGGCTCAAGCCATCTTCTTGCCTTAGCCTCCCAAAGTGTTGGGATTGCAGGTGTCAGCCACCATGCCTAGCCAGCTCCCGCATTTAGATGGGGAACCTGCAACTTAAAGGAGTTAAGTGATTTCAAGATCACTTCCAGTAAGCCAGGAGCTATCACTGTAATGGACCATTTAAGGGAAACCTCCTTTTGCTTTCCTAGATTAGCTGTCCGTGTTCCTTTGCTCTTAGCAATTAAATGAGTTAACACATATAAAGTACTTACCACAGTGCCTGACACACAGTATGTGCTCTGTAAATGTTAGCTAGTATTACTAATACTACTCACACATATTACTGCTCTGTGGGAGCTTGTGCTCAATTGTCTCTACCCAGCCTCTAGCCAAAGGACTGGAGAGCCTGTAGGCAAGTGGGGGGCAACCTCCATGGAGTCAGTCACATTCTTTTTCCTGACGTTTCTGAGGCAGCTAGGACTACATCCTGCCCAAGCCCTTTAAGCAATGCTGGATCATGGGGCAGCTTTTCCCAGCCCCCAAATGCACATACCTCCAACTACATTCCCAACTCTAATATCAACCCTGACTCATTGAACTCCAGATCCGTTCCTACACAGACTTTGCAGTTTAGCATCTTATAGACAAATTCAGTTTCTTTATTTCTGTTTCTACCTGGGCCCACGCCCTTTCATGCACATATCTGTCTTCTCTATAGACAGCAGAAGTATGTATTTTGTGTTGCAGTTCCCCAAATGCACACACTTTAACCATTTAGCCTGGAGCTGGTGCTTAACCATTAGTTCCTAGAGGGAAGTAGCTAGGACTAATAAATGCTACTTAGCCACCACAGAAGGGGGTCTCCGAGACCTGGGCCAGGGAGGAATCTCTGCTGCAGTGGGTGCTAAAGGATCCTTAGAAACAGAGGTAAGACAAGTAGCTCAGTAAAGGAGTACCCAGGTTGGCCAGAAGGATGAGGCTGAGGAATTATGGCCTCAGAGAAACACTGATAACTGTGGAGCCAGGCATAGTGGCCCGTGCCTGTAATTCTAACTACTTGGGAGGCTCTGGCAGGAGGACTGCTTGAGCCAGGAGTTTGAGACCAGCGTGGGCAACACAGTGAGACTCTCTAAAAAAAAATTTAAAAAATAAATGAAAATAGTAGCTAAGTGACTAACTCTTAGGGCTGGTGAAGAAAAGCAGAGCTTAACCAGTCACAACACTCAGTATCCCACATGGAGAGCTGCCAGGTTGCAGCCAAATACCATAGCACAGACAGAACTAGTCTGGAGATTTAGTTCAGTAAGGGCCTTTGGCTTGCTCTGATAAACTGGATGGCTGGAGCCTGATGAAATTGGAGTCACAGAGGCAACAATGCATGATTATTAACTTACAAGCAAACTGAAAGTCTGATTGTTGTAGTCACAGGTTTGTGTGCAGTCAGAAAGGCAAAGGGACCAGGATCCATTATAAGCACCTAAAAAACATTTCTTGACAAAACGAAAAAGTGACCAGGAAACCACCTGCCTTGGCAATGTCAAGGGCTCTCAGGCACAGAAGCAGTACTGTCCTCTCTCTCTCTGAGCCTCTACTTTCCTTGCCCTTCTAGCATACTCACCTCAAAGGATGCCCGGGGACACGGCTTCAGGGGTAGGTTGGTCCCGATTCTTCTTACTACGCTTCGAGCAGCCCCATGAGGCTTGTTTTGCCAGATTGGAATGGTCTAGAACAAAGAGAGACAGGGACAGCCACAACCTCAGAGACAGTGAGACCAACTACTGTCCCTGTCCTCTCCTCTCTAGCAAGGAGACTGAATTCCCCAGTCCTAGGGATAGGGCACTCTGGGTGTACGTCAAGTCTCAATTATGAGTGAGTGTAGGTTCTCCAGTTGGCAGCCTTCACATTGGCCAGCCACCCAAGTGGACATCCGCTGCTGCTAAGACAGTGTTGGGAGGGCCAGTGAAGGGGTGAGGAAGAAACTATGTATAGAGCTTGTCCAGGCTTTCCTCCCCTCCCTCTGTACGGAAAGGCAGAATCAAACTACACTGGCTCCTGAAGTGCCCCAAGATCACAGCTTGTTCTTCCAGGGTGGGGTGGGGGGTGGCTTTGTTCTAATTCCAGACCTCTGGAGACTCTCCGAACCTCATGTAGTACTTCAGATGCAGTGCTCAACCTTCCCTACCACCCCCCTGCCCTAGGAACACCCCTTACCACATTGGCTTCCATTCCCGACATTTCAACTGGGAGAACAAGGTGGCCACAGGGCAGCTCGGAGAGGCGGGAGACGTGACTCCTTCATATCAGGCCATCTAGAGGAACTCCGTTTCCCTTCCTGCAAAACAGTCCCCACAGTGGGGACTCAATGGTCACCACACAAGCCCCACAAAACCAGCCATGAGTAACAACAAGGCTTCTCTGATGTTTCACAGGGGAGAAAACTAGCCTAAGAGACTGCCCTCACCCAACACTGGGTGAGCTTGGCAAACATGGGAAGCCTTCCTAGGCCCTGATGTTTCCTGAGGCAAAACTTCTAAAGATGTAAATTGAACTCTTTGGTAGCTGCAAAAGTCACTGGAGAGCCAAACTATAGGTACTATCCAACCCCAGGATTCATTCTTTAAGATGAGATGAAAACCACAACATGTATGCTACTCCCATGTGGCAAGGGGTGGAGGGGAAGATCAGAGAGAACAAACAGCCAGCTTTTGCCAATCTCAGTCTCCCAGGCTATGAAGAAAGGAAGTCAAAATGTTATCCTGGCTCAGCCACCTACTGGCTTTGTAGTCTTAGGCAAGTCACTTAACTTTCCTGAATACTCCATTTGTAAAAGGGGCAAGAAAAGTTACCACTCTAGGTTGCCTTAAGGATCAATGAGTGAAATGAGGGATTTTTAAATGCTTAGTGAACTGTTATGACACAGATGGGTGCAGCAACTCCTGACTATTCACAGCTGCCCTTGCATGGTGAGCAGATGCTATCAGGGAGCTCATTCATTCCTTTGTTCATCAAACACCAATACCCACTTGTGCCAGGCCTACAGGGGCTATGGAAGGAGTAAGACACAATTATCCTCTCACAGAACTCTTGGTCCAGCAGAGACACAGGACATGAATACATTCTTCTAGAAAAGGCTGAGTGTTACTACTTAAAAGAGGCACACTAGGCAGGTGGCCAGATGAGTGCAGTGCTCTGGCCCTAAGGCCCTGTGGTGAGCTCAGAGAAGTAGAAAGGGAAGTAAAAACAGCAGCAGGAGTACAGGTGCAGCAGCCCAGGAAGGTGAGGGATATGTAAAGAAGAGCAGAGTATGACAAGGCTACAAAAGAGAATCAAGTCAAAGGCTAGGGATGCCTGGATGAGAAGTACCGGGGAGCCTGGGACAGGCTCCAGCAGGACCCGGACTGGACTGACAGCAGCTCTTTCTGGAGGGGCCCTCTTCCACCCTTGGGAGAAGAGGTGTCACTCACTTTATGACACTCTGGGAAAGAAAGCTGGAGAGAGGAAGGGATCATTTGGTGGCCACACCAGGAGAAAGCACTTAAAGTCTGGCCCAGGTCCCACTGCCTCCTGCATGGGCTCCATTCAAGCCTTTTATCCAGATCCCTCTGTGCTAAATGTCAGTGCCAGCCACAAGTTCCACGTAGAGGTGCTTCCCTGGGTTTCTCACTTTAGGCATTTCGGCCGCTTCCTCTCCGACCTTGTCTTCAGGGACTCAGCGGGGCCTGACCCTCACTCAACAGCCAGGGGAGCTTCCCGAAACACACTGCTCATCACATCGCTCAAATGCTTACGACTGGCTCGCCAGAGTCCGTGGCCTGGCCTGCAGGGCCTCGTCTTTCTCTGCCCTCTCCAGACCACACGCCCCCAGCGCCGGGGCTCCGCCCCCCAAACCGGCTTCCCACCTCGGGGCCCTTGTCCACAATCTTCCCCCGGTCTGAGACGCCAGCATCCCTCCACCAAGCTCATTCTCAACCACTCCTCAGAGCTCAGCTCAAGCATCACCCCTTCCCTGTAGGTCAGGTCCCCTCCTGTGCGCCCCGCGCTCCCGGCCTTTCCTCCGGAGTGCTATCGCGAGAGGAGCTGGATCGCGGGGAGACCAGCGGCCCGCCTGGAGGGCCGGGGCTGCCCTGCGCACAGCGCGGCGACCTCCCAGGATCCGGCGAACACTTGAGCAAGCGCTGAATCAAAAATGAAGAGGGAACCCCCTCAAGTGTCACTGGCTGGGGGGAGGCTCTTCCCCGGGTCGCTGGCAGCTCGGGTCGGTTCCTGCCACCCCCGCGCTCCCACAGCCCCCCGCGAACGGCTGTCATGGTCTGTTGACACGCGCGTCCCTTGGGAGATGGAGCGCCTACGGAGCAGGGCTTCCGCTGTCCAGGAGGACCCCCGGGGGCCCGGACAACTGCGCCGGGGGAGGCCGCTGCGGGGACATGGCCCGGGACGCGCCTCCTCCCCCGCCACAGCCGACCTCCCCGGGGCCAA